CTATTACTGGAAAGAGAGGGGCTATAAGTTTTGAGCTAAGCTCTGTTTTTATGAGTTTTTCAGCTTAGACTGGCAGAATCAAGATCTTATGATTCTGGCCTGGAGTTTGCAATCAAACTTTTGGCTTGTTTGAAACTCAGCTCCTGACCTTGGAAATTCATCCATCACTAATCTTTACATGCCGTTTGTGCTTCATGCACACTTTTTACTCTTTGTCCCTCAGCGGTGCCTGGCAATCGTTCAGAGCTGTCTCGGGTTTTCACCTTGAGTCTTCCCTTGCTGGCTCGACGAGCACAGCAGAGTGGGCCATGGAAGAGTGCAAAACCTGGGGGCAAGGAAACACAGCGCTGGTTTGTGGGAATGTGCCTGAGCACTCCGATAGCCCTTCTAGGCCTATGGAGAGACACACAGAAGAAAGAGCCCGAATAATGTATGTCTTTATTTAAGCTATACTTGGTAACATGTTATTTCCTCTCCATTTCACTGCTGGCAGTTAGCTTGGCACTCAAGAATTAAGGACAGATTACAGTGATTTTCTTCTGAGCTCTGCCTATCAGTGGGGCTTCAGGGACGAGCCTGATTCAGAGGCGCTGCACAGTGGGTATATGGACAGCCATGGAGACACAGTCTTCAAGGAGTGCGGGGGATTCTGAGATACCCCCTGCTTATCAATCCTCTCCCTCCCCAATGTTCTTTTATTCACCATCCAATGAACCGCACAACTAACTTGCTGTAGCTAAAAGTGGTCCCAAATGACTCGCATCTACAGGAAAGTAGAATACCTGCACTCTTATGATTGTCTCCTGGGAGGATGAGGATCCTCTGTTTAGAGGACTCTGAGGGGTGGTTTTTTCCCTTTCGTTTGTTACTGCAGCTGGAATAACATTTTAAAAAGTAACGGCAGTTTTTCAAAAGCAATATTTCAAAGAAATCGTTCTGATCACTGGTGGTTTGTGATCCACTTGTGACTGTCCCTTGGGTAGAATGAAAGAAAAAAAAGCCCAACTAGAAATATAACTGGGGGGACTGTAATATTTAGATCAAGGAAGATCAGCTGTGTGTTTGCAGAGAGGGAGAAGGGAGAGATGATATATACAGGTGGCCAAGGTGGGTCAGGAATTTTAACACGCAAACAGCTTTAGTTTGAAGAAGGCGGTGTCCTATACAGTACATAAGACACAGAGCACATGGACCCCTGCCATGTAGCCCCCTCACATATACGGTGCCCCTGGCAGGGATGGAGAGCAGAACCCCCTGTAGGTAACTCGCTGGGGTCACAGGACAACTCAGCTGTACCATAACCGAGTCACTACACATAAACCCCCAGCCTGCAATCTCAGTGGGTTGAGCCAGTTCATCCTGTGTCCCTAGGACTGGCATTTGACAACATCTACCTTCACTGCAGTCAAGTTCCTCTGTGGTCTCTGGAGTGTAGAGACGTGTTGTCTCAGCAGTGCAAAATGAAAGGCCACGTGAGGGAGAGAGCCTGCCAGCTACAGAGCCTGCATTACCACCTCACGGAAAGGGAGACCAAACAGCCGCTGGTACGTCAGGGTAGGACAAGAGTGTCACTTGATCTACAAGAGTGGGATAGGAAAAGAAGAGCAGGGGCTGGACTCTGCAGGAAGCTGAACATCATCCAGGAAAACACATTCTTAACTTTAAGCATATGAATAGTCTACCAAGGTTAAGGGGATTAGTCACGTGCTCCAAGTAAAGCACATGCTTAGGCGCTTTGCCAGAGCCGATCTGAAGGACGAGGTCAAGCCCCTTAACGCTGGGATCCCAGCTAACAGATTTCTAATTAACTACTCCTTCGACGAGAATACCAGACACTAGTCAAAAAGCTTGAATCTCTGTTCAGAAAGATATTTCAAAGCATCCCCAAAATGTAGACACTCAGACTAGATGAGAATGTGCTTTGGCTCAGGACAGACAGAGACAATAACCATTGTAAATTTGGATCTGGGTGTATTTTGAGTGAACCCTGCTCTAAAGGCAAGTTTGAGCCAACAGAAAGCCCCCTTCAAAGGTATCAAAGCACGGGAGGCTCCTCCTGGTTCTGTAAATAGCATAGAGGGGGTTTTGTCCTTGTTTGAGGCAAAAATGAGAGAACTGGTGTTTGGACAAATAGTCCCTTTGGGGATCCAGTTTGAGATTAAGGTTATAAATTCATCTGCTGCTTCAGACACTTATTCCCGTAGTTTTTTTAGATGCTTCATAGCCACACAGGCCTTACAGAACCTATGCTAGAGTGCATCACAGAACTGCTCTAAAGATCCAGAGTTAACACTTTCTCTTGTAAATAAAAATAATCCTAACCCTCTTCCACCATTGCTACACACAGGCAAACACACAGGCTCAGATACAGCTTGCAAACCAACACTGTCAGAGAATACTTCATCAAGGCAGAACTCTTTTCATGCCTGCTGCAGAAAGAAAGGAAAGCTTTGAGAATCCAAGAAACAGCAAAATAATTTGAAATTCTTTAAATCTTACTGCTACACCTCTTCCAAAACTGAATCTGCAGAAGAATACACCCTGTGGATTGTCACGCACCACACAAGATCACCACAGGAGCTGTTTTACTGCTCTCCGTGTCACCAGGGCCTGATGGTGGACTCCAGTTACACACCTCTGTGCCATTTAGTTTACCTGGGTCACTCCAGGTATCTCTGTTCACGTGAAGCACCTTCTCTATTGCACTCAGGACTGCAGAGGAGGAAGAAAGTTTGCATTCAAAGATGTTTTAATAAAATAATTACCATTTTTCTAATGAGAAACCATCTCTTAAAAGAAGATGGGTTTTCTCAAAATTTTTCATATTTTGGAAGGTCATGAAATTTTTTATAGGTCTCTTTTGGTTTTCAGTTATTGATTTTCTGCTTTTAGTTTTCATTTAACTTTCCAAGAGATATTTTTATTTTTAATTTCCTCTTCACTCCAAGAGTAATTCATCAGCCTCCTTACCTAGTAGGCACTTGCACAGTTAAACGGTTTCAAAGCTTTTCAAAACCACCCTATTTGAAAACCTTGCCAGAAAAAAAAAAAGGCAATAAACCAATCTACTTAAAAAGGAAGTTTCTTCACAAGGCATTTTCAACATGAATAAATAAATACATTCTCCAGTCAGATCTAATGGAGAATGAAATGACAAAACTTCAGTTGCCAGGGATGGCACTTCAGTGGCAACGCACTGGCTTGGCAGCTGGCATTTGTAGACCAGAGAAAGTAAAAGCCAGGTAGTCGAGCAAGAATGAAAGCGACTCAAATCTACCCTACTCCAAAATGCCCTCCAGAAACATCATTTCTTTGGGCACTGTTAATAAAGCAACATTATCACATAAGGTGTAACGAGGAGGGGAAGCTGGGCTGGACGGGGAATGGCTGGCTATGCAATTGTATTGCAGAAGAATTATTTGTTGGTTGGATTTTTTTTTTTTAACTGAGCAAAATACTGTTCCTTGCCAGCTGTGTGAATGGCACGACCTGGAAATTAATGCCTTCATTTATGTGCAGTAGGCACAGTTTCAACAGGTTGCCTCCTTCTCTTGGTGAGCTTTTGTAGATGCAGAGGATGATTTTGATTGACTCATAAGGACTGATGCCACGCAGCTACCATGTAAGAAAGGATTGCTGGTACTATCCCTGAATTAAGAACATGTTGGGTTGAGCTGTTTTTGGGGAGGCCTTTTTTCTTTGCCCTGTCCCTCTTTGCCTGTATGTGTGTCAGTGGCACCCTCACTCCCACATATCCAGTCGTTGCCTCTTCAGACTCCCTTTGGTTACACCCTTGGCCCTTCCTCCCCACCTTCTCCTCAGCCACTGTTCCCCTGCAAGGATGTGCTGCCCCCACAGCCAAAATGCTTTGCTTCCCCTAAGGGCATTCACCTGCCTCTGCAGACTGAGCTGTTCCTTTAGCTCTTCTGGGACCTATGACCTGAACAATGGGAAAAGCAGAGTGAAGGAAAAAGGAGACAACGGGAAGAGGAGTAACAGGAAAAAGAGAAAGACCAAAAAAGAGAGAGAGTCTCATTTGCAGATTCACAATTATATCATACAACGCTTGAGCTCATGGGAGATGGATCTCTGCATCTGACTCTTTCGCTTCCATCTGTACACAGTTCTCCCAGATGGAGAGTGGAGATGTCCAGTGAACCGGGGCAGTTTCCAAAGATGCGGGAAGGTCTTATTTGGCATACATGAACACGACAAGAGGCATCTCTTCCTTCTCCCTTACAAAAATTAGCTCCCCTTTTCTCCTCGGCAATGGCTTTTGCCCAGTTGTCTTAAACATCCAAAACGGAACCTCGATGAAATCCCACTCCAGTAAGTACTGGGGAAGAACAACTGCCAGGGCTCCCCCCACCTCCCTTCTCCCTGGTTGCTCTTCCCTTGGATCCACCGTCCCGAACTCTCCGATGCTCTGTGAGAACAAAAAAGCATCCTGAAATCCACCAGAGGAGACACGCTGCCTCAGACCTGACGGGTTTCCTCACGCTTCTGCGGTTGCAGTGCCTCAGTCTTGGGCCACAAACACAGCATGGATGGTTTAGTGGACAATCACATTGCAATGTTTTAAATTTTTCTTTTTCTTAAAAAAAAAAATAAATAAAATAAGAGGGAAGAAAAAGTTATACACACATGTATCACAGCATTTTCAAAAGGCCTTCTGCTGCATTTACGTTAGCAGTTCAGCCTCAGTTGTAAGCCTGGATGTAAGGCAGCTGGAAGATTAAAACTGCATTGTTGGAAAGTCCGCTGAGATGTCCTCATGGAGATTTTTTTTGTTGTTTTCTGTTTTTATTTTGTTAGATCCTTTTGTTATTATTAGTATTATTATTATTTTCACTTGTTTGCTTCCTTCTAAAGTTTGGCAGGCAAAGAGAAAATGCTTTTCTGCTTTTCCCCACACGTTCTGTCCATTTTGTTTTCTGTGTTCTAAGAAAAAAAACCAAACAAAAAACCCCCAAAAGCAATGACAGAGCAGGCTTCTGTCATTTTGTTTTACGAAAGAAAAAGAAAGTGGGTGGGTTTCTGATAGTGGCCTTGAGGAGGTACGTTGTAGAGGTGGCTCAAATATTTGCTTTGTTCCTTTGCTTGCTGTTTGCGTTTTCCCTTCTGGCTGCAATGGACAGGCTTTTTGTCCCCCCCCACCCCACCCTCCGTGTCCTGTTCGGATTCTGGTTCCAGATCCCCCACATGGACCCCCTGATCCCCTTCCCAAATGGCAGTAGGTAGGTGCAACTGTATGTTCGTTCGACCTCTAAGGTATGATGCTGAAGTTAAGAGTTGGATGGAAGAGCCACGTGAGAGAACAGCTTTCCCATCAGTTGTGAGAAAGAAGGAAGGAACACAGAGTCTGGTGGAGATGTGAGTGCCGTGTCGGACTCAGCTCTACCTTGGCACTGGCATTAAATTGAGATTATATATATATCTATAATTATATATACATATATATGCATGTATAGGCATACATAGACATATATATATATATATACGTATGTGTGTGCATTTGTTTGCTATGCGTTTTAGCACACTGTCCCATTCTCAGGTCTCGATTTGGGGCAGTTGGTCCTGGGGACAGGTTGGACAGAAGGGGCCAGAGTGCAGAAGAAGCCAGAGATAAGAGTGAGGCCCAGGCCCCCCCACGCACAGAACATGGACCAGCCATAGCCGTGGCTGATGTCGTCGGGCAGTCCGTACAGGTAGCGGGGGTAGCGGGAGAGCTCAAAGTTGATTCCAGCCACGCACGTGCACAGTGAAATGATGCAGAAGGTTCCTGGAGGAGAGCGGGAAGGGGGGGGGAGAAGGAGGGAGGAAAAAAAAACAAAGAGAAGTTAGAAGAGTGAGAGACACACCGCTTTCCGAGCTGCCCGAGAAGAGCTGGTGCAAGCAGGAGGGAAATACCTAAGGGAAGGTGTTCCAACAGAAAGTGGCTCAGTCTAGAGGCTCCGAGGGGAAGGAGCTGAGTGCCAGCAGAGCCCTCAATATTGATCTGATGCTGAACAGAGCTGTATGGAGAAACTGCAACAGGAACAGTTTTTTTCATTATGAGCACTCCCTTGGGGACCAGAATGCTTCATGAAACCATTGATTTTTCTGGAATTTTGCTTTAGGCAAATACAGAGTGAATCATTATGTTTTTTGGGGGAAAACCCTTGAATTTTTTGTTTAATTTAAATTTTTCAGTGATGCATTTTATAGAAGAAAATATTACAGAATCCCTGACATATTCTGGCTCTGTCAAAACTTACATGTGAAATTACATGGAGAGATTTTTTCCAGACTTTTCTTATATAAAAATCTAAAATCTTTTGGTATACACTCCCCTTTTAAATATCACTGTCAAAATCATAAAATCCCTCACAAAATTCAGATGCTGCCCTCTGCATGACTCCAGCCCGAATCTAGATGCTCCCTGCAGTGCTGGGGAAATCTTGAAAATATCCTGTTCTTGTTTTCCATCTCTGCAGCAATATTTCATTTCTCCGTGAGAACACTGCGAGGACAGGCTTCATAACTCTGTCAGGTGGTAAGCGTTATGGAAAGTCAAACATTTCGGATGAGGCTGAACCTTAGCCCACCCAGATGAGTCTAATTTTGATCTTTGGCCTCCAGCTTCATCAAAGCTAAACTCTGAGCTCCTGAAATGTCACAGTTGCCACCCACACACCAAATAATGGATAGCTACAGACGCTACGCGCCTGTCTCAAGAGATAACAACTGAAGTCAACATAAAGTTGGTCGTTTATTTTTCCTCTCTAATTCCTCCCTGTGTGGGCCTCTCTGAATTGCCTGGAGAGCCCTGGGCAGAGAAGGCATATTGCAGGATGGCCAGTCCTCCGTGTCGGCCCCGTGTTCACGCAGAGATCAGTAACGTGCTACGTGTGCTACCAGTGCAGCACCTCCTGCACCTTCTCACTAGCAGCTGCTGGCGCGGAATCTCTTACTCTTCTTGGTCCCTAATATAGCCCAATCCCCCAAAGCAGTCACACCAGCCCGGTTTTAGTGTCAAGCTCTCTTCTTCTGGTGCCCTTGCCTCCTTCTACTCCTTCCTGCCCCTCCTCCTGCTTCCCTCCTGCAACACTTTTCATATTGTTTTCTGCAGTTTTGCTATTTTCAGTTGCAATTGCATTGAAGAAATGGATTTTACACTCCCCACTCTGAAGACATAGGTAAGATTATATGATGAAGTCATCTGGAATTAGGCTCAGAAACCGGGGGTATTTGTAGGAACATGTATAGCACCAAACATGCATGGACTTCCCACCATACTCACCTCCTTTACATACAGGTCTAGAATCTATAGGCGAATCTGTCACAGACCTGCAGTGAGACCACTGTCATGTCTCCCTCTGTTCCCTCTTTTTATCACTGCCTTGTCTATTTGGACTGTCTTTTCTCCAGTGTGTTTTGGAATGCCACTTGTAGATACCCGCTGTTGTAAAGGTCAGGGAATATGGGAACTCTGGGTGCTTCCTCAAATGCTACATACAGCTGCCAGATGGCCCAGGTTACTCATAAGTACTCATATTATCATAGTGCCACAGGGTACCAGTCCAGACCAGTGAGCTGCTGTGGTAGCTACTCTGGCTGCTGCCTTCCTGCCTCACAGCAGCACCCAATAAGTCTACAATCAGTGCTCTGGACTTTTGCAAAAGCCTTGTGAGACCAGGCCCTGAAGCTGTCTTCAAGAGATATCCTACACTACTTCAAAGCTCAGAGCAGGATAAATGGGGAGGTCTCCCTCCCAGAATTCCTTACTCAAAAATCAGGTTGTTTGATTAGAAACCACACCCCCCTTCTGTGTTTTACCACGTCACTTGGGTTACGCAGTAACATGATGGTCTAGTGGGAGGTGTCCCTGCCCATGGCAGGGTGCTTGGAACTTTATGATCTTTAAGGTCCCTTCCAACTCTAACCATTCTATGATTCTATGATTCTATGAAGGTGCCTTGGCAAGAGCGCGGTTGTTTCCTGTGTGACATGTCAACATGACATTGTTGGATCGGGGAAAAAGGGATCCATCAGAGCCACCGAGCTCTGAACCAAGCTCAGTGGCTCATTTCAGATGGCTGTGGTTAGAAAATGACATGAAAGACCTTTCTTTGCTGGCAAGAACATGATAATTTCAGCGCTCTCGAAATATAAGATTGTTAAGAGAGGTGGGTGGGAAAATCTGTGCGGCCAGACTGAAGCTGCATTTGCTAAATACAAAAGGGAAGGAAATAACTTTGGATTTCAAATACTCCCTGCGCTTTCACGCTTTGTCTTGGCTATTTTGATTACAAGCTCTTCAGCGCAAGGAGCACTGCTTACTCCTTGTATTCAAACAGTGCCCAATGTATTGGCACTCCACCTTGCTGGGGGTATTCTGCCCCATAACAAACAAACAATAAAGAACGAGTAACAACAATAGAGAATAAAGCAAATCACGAGCATGAGACTTCTTTAAAAAAAGGTTGCCCTTATCCTGCCCCTTTGCTGGAGAACGTGCTAATCCCACGACAATAACTACTGCCATGAACGACGTTAGAGGAATCGTAGCGCGGCCCTCAGCCAGTCACTCCCCAGTGCTTCTGCAGGATGTCTTGTACAGCACGGGTTTATCAGCCTCCCTAGTGCTATTCATTACAGACACAAAAAACGCCATTTTATACGACCTAGAGGAATCTTTACGGCCATTACACGAGTCATATGTGTTGTTTGTATTCAGCCAAGCAAGGAAGTTCCCACTTGTAGTTAATCCAGCCCCTCACCAGGAGGGTTACTAATGAAAACTGAGTGTGGTTACTACCTTAGGACTCTTCGGTGGCTTTTCCTCATGAATTGGCAATCATAACACAAAGGATCATCTTTGCAAATTGCACGATTGTGGGCCATCGTAGGGAAAGAGTTACTGGTGGAAGGGATGCCCAGACTGAGCTTACCCTTGGAAATGCAGCCTCTGGTAGCCTGAATAAGATGTGGAGCTGGGATGGCAGGAGGTAGAAGGCTGTCACTCCTGTCCATGACACAGCCTGCACTATGGACACAGTGCTTCGGAGACACCAGGATTGCAGCAAGTCATGAGCATCCCCAGCCCTGACACTTTCTCTCCCCAGAAAATAAACTGAACCCTTATTCACTTTCCTAGTAGGTTCTTGCCATCAGTGAGATATCTGTTCTTGCCCTACATGTGCAATAATGCCCAAGATCCCTTGGCAGTTGCTGGAATACAATCTTTTCTTTCTTTGTGAAAAACACTCCCCATAACCCTGGCCCAAGCAAACGACCAGACCTGGAGGCTGGTGGTCCAAGGCTCGGCAGTTCCACCATGGCACTGACCCACAGAATGTGAATGACAGGCGGTATGAGGAGCTCACCAGGGATGTGCTGGTAGTGAGCTGGACAGGGGAGATAAAGGCCATCTCCTTCAGCAGCCGGGGAGAGCAGAATGTGCTAAGTTCTTTGTGCTGCGACTTACACGGTATCATCCTGAGCAAAACACTAATGAAGGAGACAAGGCAACAGCAGTGGTTTTGACAAAGGAAATTCACGTGTCATTGCAAAATGCTTCAGTCAGGTGAGAGATGAAACTACATGTAAGGCCGTGTCTGTACCACAGAAACTGGTGTTTGATATGTAGTCAAACCTCCACCCCGACTCCTCATCAAACAGCCGCCCATCCTCTGGCTTTGGCATCCTGCTGACAGACTGGCAACCAACACTGGTTTGAGCACCTGAGCTATTAAACACCTCATGGCTATCTTGCGCTTTTCCTTCTTAGATATTATGGAAGAAAAATATTAAACATTATACTAAATGGAAGACTGGAAGTTTGTTTAAGACAAAGATGAACTTATTTGCTATATATGTGTAGAAGATTGGGGCCATCCTAGCTGCAGAAGCAGACATGGTCAGGTGAAGGATGACTGGGAGAGGTAATATCATTGTTGGTCAAAGCCTAATTCAGTGTGGATTATGAGTCAGAGCCCTTTGCCATAGCTATTTTAAGCGTGATTTTATCAAGCAAAGCCGTGGGCTTCTGCTGCTAGGAATTCTTTTTCTTTTTTTTCTATAAATGTCCCTTTTCTTTCCAATTAACCCAGCTGTGCAAGGGGCTGCAATGCCTCCGTTTGCAGTTTTCAAACCTCACCTCCAGGGGAGAGCAGAAGTGCTTCTGAGGGAACCGATTTAAGCACAAGCAGGCTCAAACCATCCATACCAAATAGATTTCAATTTTGCCTCACGCCAGTGCCCCCCTGAACCACGTCCTTCGCCCTCAGACCTGGCTCAGCTTCCAGAGCAATAGAGCTTGAGGGGTTTCACAGGGTCCGTGGTGTTTTGCGAGACAAGAACCGCTGCCTTTCTTAGATACACTGCAAACCAAGGGGAGCCTTCATGGTGCCTGTGTGCAAACAGTCCCTGCTACAGGAGCTTCATCTAAACATCCCCACCCCTCGTATCAGGGATGAGGTGTCCGACTGCAGCCTGATGGAGATGTCACCAATTTGAAGTCACGGGGAAAAAAAAAAAGCCAGTAATTACAATGATCTGGTCACCAAGCCCACCTCTGAGACCCTCCTCTCTACAAATAATTTTTCTCATTATTTGGAATACATTTCTTCCACCTCTGATGGAACAACTCTCGTTGCCTCCCTTCCCCTCGCAACAGGCAGAAATGACTCACAAACTAACCGTGCTGTCAGATGTATAAAGTAAACAAACCAAAAAAATATGATTCTTCTCCCTTTCTGTTTTTTTTTTGCAGAGACAAAAATGTCAAGTATTACTTAT